TTGTTCAGTTATAGATGAGACTAGACAGTCTCTGAGATCTCTTCCCATTAAGAGATATTATCATTCTAGGAAAATGATTGTTTTGGCCTCAGAGTCAAGAAAACCTGGATTTAGGTACTTCTTTTGACATATACTGTGTGACTATGCAAGTGATTTAAGGTCTCAGTGCCCAGCCACCTCTCTTAAGGCTATAAATTGTAAAAGAGTAATTGCTACTTTGATAGGGGAAATTTCTCACCATATTCCCTACATAAATGGAATCCCAGGTCTGGACTCCCCCCCCCCCAATAAATAATAATAATAGGCATTTATATAATACTTCAAAGTTTTCAAATTATTATATATTTTTTATCTGCTTTGAGCTTCACAACAGCACAGTGAGATGGGTACTGTAGGCATTATTATTATTTTACAGGTGAGAGAAATGAAGCTCAAAGAATCTAAGTGACCTTTCCATGGTTACACAGCTAGTAATCAGTAAATAAATTAGTCAAAAATTATTATGTTCCCGGCATTGTGCTAAGTGTTGGGGACACAAATATAAAAAAGGAAGATAATGACTGCTTTCAAGGAGCTTACATTCTAATAGGGGAAGACAATACACAAAAGCTGAAAAGGGTTGGGGGGGAAGGCAGTGAAGGTACTCAACTTGGACACGTGGTGAGAAGTCCCGAAGTAGTTCTGCAAGGTGGGAAATGATGAGATGTTTGGCCTCATAGTGGATTGTGGGGATTGTGCCCCTCCTTAATGGAAGTTTTAGAGTTCATGGTCCTGCCCTTCCAGAGGAGCAGAGGATATTAATGAGGTGTAACAAGGCAGAATTGATCTTGCTGGTGGGATTTCCTAATGATGCGGTTCCTGGGCTGTGCTAGTGTGATAGAGAAGTCCCCAAGTCATGCACCAAGGTGGAAAATGAAGAAATATCAGTTAATAAGTATTACGAGCAGAATTTCAACCCAAGCCTTTCTGATTCCAAGTCCAAAATTCTATCCACGTTATCATATGCTCTAAGAGAATGTTATTGGAAAAATCACTGTATTTATATTCCGAGTTTTTGGGTTCAGCCCCCAATCAGCTACTTTAAGTATTCTTTCAGTACACAGATATATTTAGATGATTTGCCATGGTCAAATTATATTGCATAGTACTGCTACTATTGCTTGCAAATTTTAGTTGAAAGAGGTATGGGCTTATTCCCTGAAGACTTGAATTTAAGTCTCTGTTTTGTCACTTTCCAGGTGTATGACTGTAAGTGACTCTATCTCCTGAATCTCAGTTTCCTCATCTCCTGAATGGATATACTTCTTGCTTTTCCTCTCTCATAGGGCTGTTTTGGAGTTTAAATGAGATTAATGTATTCAAAGGGCTTTGCAACTATTGCTATTCTAAGGGAGTTACTATGATTATTACTTAATATAGAGAATCATTTATTCATGAGTAACAGGTGAAACATCCCCTTTTTCTACATTAGTCTGTATTCTTGCTTGGGTTTTTTTGTTAGAGTTCTTTAGCAGGACAGTCTTGATGGGTCTGTGATGATACACATATGTTTAGTTTCTCCTGTCTTCTATTTTCTACCTATTCAGAACGTCTTAGCTGACTTACTGTAGTCGTGCTTGTCATAGATTATTACTTAGAAGAAACAAGAACAGATAAACTGTGAAATAACATTGAACCAATTTTCATGCAAATGTCAGCCCTAGGAAAGGCAGACCAGTTGTGAATTATTTATGATCGAAGTTTTGATAAGCACTTCTCCCCCCCCCCCTTTTCTAATGAACCCTGTAGCTAAGGGTAGCAGCTGGGCTTTCTTTAAACTTGTATGCACTCTTAAATTTCTAGAGAAAAAATAAATCTCTTGAGATGTTTAGGTTTAGATACCAGCTTAGTGTAGTGTATCTTTGAAGAAAATTTGAACAGTATCTATCCTGTTATTTTGAAAAGTAGGCTAAATTAACATTTCTAGATAAATCCATTAGAAGGCTTTGACTTCTCTCCTCCATTGCAGTCATTCTCAGGTATACTAATTTTTATTTGAAATAAATTTCAGTTACCCATGCTGTCAACCAACCTTTTTTTCCCCAGATCCAATAAAAATAGCTTAGTTTATAGCATACCCATTTGTTAGTTTGTAATTACAACTTCATTCTGAATACAAGGGTTAAATTTATTTACACAGATTAAATAATATATGCATATTTCCTCATTTTTGTATTACATTTGTAATAATTAGGATCATTTTTGCATAGCAGAGTACCTGACTCTTAGTAAACATTTAAGAAATGTTTGTTGATTGACTGTTGTCAAGTTTGGTGATTTGAGTGAGTCTTTATAAATCTGCACCTGTGAAATTATATGTAAATATTATCAGAAAGATTCCCCTTTGTGAAAATTCTTTAATCCTAGACAAGTGCCTTCTGCTTGATGGGGTTCAAATGAACTTGTATTTGTATAATTAGTGTGCTCAATATATGACCTCTAAGCTCCCTTCCAACTTTAAATATTATAGAAATTACTTCCAAAAATTACCATTACTGTCCCCAAGTCATATGAAATAAGGAGCATTAAAAGTTGTGAAAAGAATTAATCACAAACATTAACTTGGTTTTGGTCTAGTTGAGGAATCATTAGCATACTTAGCTGTTGTTTTGTGTGTTAGTAACAAGTCCTTACAATAAATATCAGTTGAAATCGCTAAGGGACCAAATTAATGTTTCTGTGTTGATATCTAAGGACTTTTCACACCAAGTTGCTCAGAAGCCGATGAGCCTCCTGCTGTGATTTAGCGCCAGTAGGCCCCCAAACTCAGGCTTCTTAAAATCTCTGCCTTGTGATGGCAGTCTGTTTACCAACCACATATAAGTTTTGATACATTGTACTTTTGGGTAAATTGTAATAGTGAGTTGGTATGAAACTCTACTGAAGTGTTCAAACTTTTTTTGGGGTGGGGGCTAGGCAATGGGGTTAAATGACTTGCCCAGGGTCACACAGCTAAGTAAGTGTTATGTCTGAAGCCAGATTTGAACTCAGGTCCTCCTGACTCTAGGGCCAGTGCTTTATCCGCTGTGCCACCTAGCTGCCCCCAGAACATTTTTCCAGGATCTAAACGTAGTCTAAAACATGCCTTTTAGATTCCATATATTTCAAAGAACAGGAAAGGAAAAAAGAGAACATTTGAATTGGAGTTAGAATTCTAGTGATCTCTAATAACCTAGTTGTGTTACCTTTAGCAAATCATATAACCTGATTGGATTTAAGTCTTCTCATTTGTTTGTTTTTTGGTTGGACTAGATAATCTATAAAGTCTCCTCTAGCTCTAATACATTATCTTCTTTAAGGTCCCTTATAAATTTAATGTTATATATGTTTTAATATTCTGAGATTCTTCCTAGCACTAACATTTTATGATTCTAAGACTTGTAAGAAAGTTCACTATTAAGTCCTTTGTCTTAGAAATGGCTGTTTACATCCTGAGAAGCTTACCCTCTTAACACTTTTAAAGTTGTATCTTGAGATTTTTGTGTGACATTTAAAATTACAAGCAACTTGGAACCCCCCCCCCGCCAATGTAGTACTGGTGAATCCAGTGAGCCTTATACCATCTTGCTGAAAGGAAAAGGAGGAGGAGGAGGAAAAGTACCAGATGGAATTTTGCCTCCAATTTGCAAAACTGATACTGAAAAAATTGGAAATTGAATTTCTTCAGCACCTTTGTTGCTATTTCCTATACTGTTCTACAGAATCATCATTTTATTTTGCTTCCAAAAAACCCCCCAAACCCAACAACCTTATATTTTGCTCCAAAGGAAAAAAAAGTTAAACTAAAAACAAACCTTAAAAGTGCTTGAATGTTTTATATGAACATATCTTATAGAATGAGAGAGAAAGGCTGAACTTCATTAGTGTCAGCTTGAATAGGTCATACATTTTTGTCAAATTTTGGTTTTGACAAATGAATTAAAACAGCCCTAAAATTTAAAAACTACAAACACTTTCAATTGAGTAAAAACTGTCACTCTTCTATAAAGCTTATTCTCCAGCCTGACTAGAAGTTAGATGAGCAATTTAACGATGGGGGGGTCTAGTAAAAAATGACCAGAGAGATGAAATGTCTTTTCCAATATATCAGTCAATAAGTATTTATTAAACACCTACTAAATTGTAGGCAGTGTATTAGGTCCTGGAGTTATAGATGCAATAGGGAGACAATCCCTGCCCTCAAGTGTGTTGCAGTGCCAGGGCTAGAAATCAGGTCTTTGAACTTCTGTTTTAGTCCTCTTTACACTTCACTATGAATCTCTTGAAAGTTAAATGCATCGGATATAACCAATAGGTTAATTCTTTTCATTTTGATAACTGTAGAATTCTTGGAGACAGCGTAATGGAATATAACCTATCTAATTAAACTTAATATACCTAACATTAAGCAAATGAGATAATTTACATGATAGCAGTTGGAACTCTTTGGCAGACTTATGTATACATTAAAGAAAATTTTTATTATTATGTTTCATGCTTTTTTCCATATACAAGTTAACTACTGTACTCAAAATCAAGTGTGGTTGCTTTTCTGGTCTCATCAAAAAACAGCAACTACCACCACCACCAATAATTACATTATAGAAATTTGTTTAATTGTACCGATTAAACTACACTTCTGAATTCTCTAAAATCATTGCCTTAATTTTTATGTTGTAAAACACATTATTTTTCCATTTCTCCTTAGCAGCTTGTTTGGAATGGAGTAGAGATCAAACTAGGTAGATGGAATGTAATGGTAGCCCTGGTGCTGTCACACATTTGAGGGTTCTAGATCTGTCTCTTCTGTCTCCTAGTTGTGTGATTTTAGACCTCTGGTTTCAGAATGTAAAAATGGAAGTTAGGCTACATACTCCTTACTGTTCTATCATTCTAAGGTTCTCTGTGTTTTGTGCCCTAGAAAATCTATTGGTATTATTTCTGTGTGACAGATCTTGACTTCCTTTTGTTCCCCTCTTTAGAAAAAAAGGATGTGACGCAGAGCTTAGAAAGTTACACTTCAAAATGCCCAGGAACAATGGAGCTTCTCTCTCTCCCAGATGGACTAAACTTGCCTCCTGTCCCATTTACAAAACTTCCCATTGTAAGGTAAGAGAAATGCCAGCCTGATTGGGCACATGTGTGATTTATCCTTAGAGATTTTCCGTTTGTTTGAATGTAGACCATGTAAAGGATGATACAGCTTAGTAGGATCCCACACCAAACTCTCCAAACTTGTTTGCTCCCCACCTTCTTTTCACTGTTTTGAGACATACTACTATTGATAATCATCTGTCATCTGCATCTGTAATGTTATGCAAATGAGCTTTCATTCTAAATTGGTGTCATTTTCTTCCTAGTTTGGAATCAACAGATTGTTTAAACAGGTTGGGTTGGAGTTGCTATAATCTTATGTGTAGTACCATGTTCTTTGTCTTGATTGAGTATTTACTGTGATTTGGTGTTTACTTTGACCATTCCATTAACCATTTTGTGATCTGACCAAGTACATACAACTTATTCTGAAATGACAGTTATGTCTACTGCCAGACATTTCTTGTCCATTTCAGGTATAACAACATATACTTTTCTGTGATATTCCTTAGTGTTGCGCCTTCATTACCTTTTAGCTCTCTTTTTCAGGGAAGTATTAATGGAATGTGGGTGCAAAACATCTGGTAAGCTTTGGCCTTTCATTTGTTGATTCTGAACCATATTTTACAACGTAGCTTTTATCATTCCATGTGTCCACTTCATATTGAAGTCATTGAATATGAAGGTATGTATTGGTTCATGAAGGATTGTGATTTTGTTGGCTTGGGGACTCTTTGGAATGAATATCACAGCTTGTCTATAGTTTAATAGAAAGGTCTTAGTAAGTTGCCTAGAAGTCAGGTTGTAATTTGCCTGTGCTTAGGTAGTGTGTCAGAGGTAAAACTGAAACCCACATTGCCTCCATCAAGGGGTGTGTGTGTGTGTGTGTGTGTGTGTGTGTGTGTGTGTGTGTGTACATGTGCATGCGCATGTGTGCATATTTCCATGGCCGTACCTTTTGGCAGTGAGCTTCCTGTGCTTGGATTGGTCCAGAAGACAGCCTGTTGTTAAGCTCATTCATGAAGCCTTTCTGTCTGAGTAGAAGCTTCCATAGTGAATGCTTCAGTGGCACAGCTTTTAAAAGCTGTTGATCATAAACAAAGAAAAAACAAACAAATTAAAAAAAGGGAAACTTTTACTTATGTGCCATCATGAAGCAGTGGAATAGATCACACTGGAATGAGTTTAATAATAAGACCTTAAATGGAAAAGTTTTGCTGGCATTTTTATAGTTACTCTTTGTCATTGGTGGTCATGTAGAACTCAGCCCACTGGTATCTTCCTGCTTCAGTGCCTTACATACTCCTAGTATGAAGGAATGTCGCTGGCACTTAAGATGAAGTCAGGAAGAGCAGTCAGATCTGACCAAGTACATACAGAAGGAATTGATAGTGGAGTTGACACATTTTAAAAGGCATTCAGAGATTGATTTTTCAAGATACAAAAATTTGACAGAATGATTCAAAATAAAATGGAATGAACAGTTAAGTGACTGAAAATACATAAATACATAACTGCCAATCTGTATGTTTGCTTGATCATCTCTATAAAATCTTTATACGAATGATTTGCATGGATATTGGGATGAAATTATGAGTAGAGAACAGACTGGCATTCACCTTGTCTTTAAAGTCACACAAGTGATTGAATGGTACAGAAAATAGAAGATACTGAAGTATCTTTTATTTTTTAAATTAAAAAAGGTGTATGACTGAATAGAACAAAATGCCACTTCAAAGGCTCTCCTCAAATAAGACATTTCCCATCCCTCACATGTGTAGTTTCATTTTACAGATGCAACTATGCAACTATGTTTGTTTATTTGTTTATTTTATTCTGTTTATTATTTGTTTATTGGAATGGAGTAGAGATCAAACTAGGTAGATGGAATATAATGGTAAAGAAGACCAAAGTAGAGGTCAGGGGACCTGGGTTCTAGCCCTGGTGCTGTCACACACTTGAGGGTTCTAGATCTGTCTCTTCTGTCTCTTAGTTGTGTGACTTTGTTTATTATTCTGCTGAGTACCAACATTGACCAAAGTGTAAAATAGGGAGAGATATACTCATCTATGGTGTTCAGTATATGTCGCATGTCAGCTTGCATGGTATAAAAGTCTCTTATTTGTGGCATAGTTTTCTAAATGCTGTATTTGCAGATGAAATTGTATTAGTTGCGTTCAGCCTCAGGAGATGACAAAGCCGCCTCAGGAGATGACAAAGCCACCTCAGCAAAATTCATAGGAATGTAAAAGAGATTGGTTTAACCATATACAGTGGTAAAACTAAGTATATGGAAAATAAATATTGCCCAACTATGACATACAGCTGAATGGACAGCCTTTGAAATTAGTACATTAATTTGTTTACCTTGCGTAGACACTGGAGATATCCTGGGGTCAGAATCAGGTAGAGGAGAAAGGGCTTGATCCCACCTAGTTAAATACATGGTGCTTTCAGAATGTCAAAGGAAAGGTAATATGATGGTCTTGGGACATGAACCCAGACAAACAACTTCCAATCTGGATCACTTAAACAAGCCATCTCTCCAGACATCAGTTCATGGACTGAACAGACATTATTACTTCATTACTAGCAACTATAAGAAGAATGAGATAGAGTAGAAAATGTTGCTAAATTTGCATGAGAAGAGTTGGATACTAAATTTGACATTTCAGAACTACAGTGAACATTATGCACTCAGTGAATCTGTAGTACAGGAGATGTTGGAATTAGCTAAGGCTTAACGATAAAACAGTAGAAGAAGAAAATAAGATGACACTTGAATGGCTGGCAGTAAAGAGTGGTGGCAAGTAGGACCTAAAGCATCATTTGGAAGAACATGTGGATGTGCTTTTGACCTCACATATTGTCCAGTGTGTAACAGCTATGTTGGATACTATTGTAATTCATATAAAAAACTTTCAGTGATTCTTTTAGTGTATATTTGCCTACTGTTTCTAAAGCTTACAATCAATCAACTGCCGAAGGTGTATTTGGTTAAATGGAAGACATCTGTGGTTCACAAGCAGCACTAGAACACCTTTGGGTCCCTGTTGTGCAGTTACTTCTGTTTCTTTAGGTCAGGATCTTTGCAGATTCCAAAGTAGCACACGAATACATCAATGTGGACAGATTTTATTAAGTCACCATTTACTATTTGAACAAATTAGTAGTACATAAATATTTTCATTATTAATACATAATAAAAATACATTTACAATAAAAAAAAAATGCTTCATCCCCTCTCTCCTCAGGCAGCTTATTGGCCAAAAAACCTCTTCTCTGATCCCAGCTCAGTAGCTGCAAAACAAGGAATGTTCGGATCCCAGAAGAGTGAAATTGCTAAAGTACTCAAAGGAGACATGGTGGATTTAAACAGTCTGCCACATAGTATCCGTGATGAATGGCAAATGATTAATGACAAAATATTATTGAGGACACATGTATAACTAGAAAGGGAAATGGCTGGTTATCGAGTAAGATTCATGACTGAGATATGGATTGTGTGAGTATTATGATGCCGTAGAAATATTAAAAAATGCAACAAGGGCTGCAGTGTGTTGGGTAGATCATCTAAACTGTAAATCAAGCCTCCTAAGTGATTACTCCAGAATTTGTGAAAACAAGGTTGGTATTTTGTGCCTTATAAGCGCCAAAAATCATTTCAAGTTTTTTGCTTCCTTATAGCTAATAGCTAATAATAGCTAACTTTACAGAGTGCTTTAAATTGAACAAAGTGCTATACATATATTATTTCATTTTATTCACATAACACCCCTCAGAAGTAAATGCTGTTATTATCCCCATTTTCTAGATGAGAAAACTGAAGGTGACAGAGTTTGCCTGAGGCAGGATTGTCATATGGATTTTCATATTGTCACTGGGAGGCCAGTGTTCTGTCCATGATGACACTTAGCAGCATCTGGTCCACGAGAGGCTTGTTTATTTGAATCACCATACTCTAGGCCACGAGTCAGCCAACTCTGGCCACAGAGGTTCTGGGTGGGATTTGGGCTGAGGTGGAGTTTGCCAACTTTTGCTCTAGTTTGTCCAACAAAATTCAAACCTTTCTTTAAGAGCAATGTTATAACATTGTTGTGAAATAGAAAGGAAAGGAGCGTGTCTCAAAAACAACGTAAAATTAAATGTAGTTTTCTGAATTAGTTGTGCTTTGCCTTTGCCCCAGCATACAACATTAGTTAAGCTTTAGGAAGTTGTCCTCCAGCCAAACTGGAAGACTCTGTCTCCTGCACGTGTCCGGTACTTTTCCACTTCTGCTCGTGATCTTCTCTTTGCCTAGAATGCTTCAGCCTCTTTAGTTTCTGCCTTCCCGCCCTCACCCAAGACTTGTTCAAATGCTTCCTCTTCCATGATGCTTACTCTGATCTCTCTCTTTCTCTCTCTCTCTCTCTTTCTCATCTGATTGAAGAATAGTAATATTTGACATTTTTACAGCTTACGGTTTGCAGAGAGCTAGCGTCTCATTACCTAGATGAAGCATAGGCCCAGAAAGATGAGTCATACATGTATCAGAATCAGAGACAGGATTTGAACACAGGTCTCTGCTTTCTCCAAGTTCATTGCTCATTCTGCTGTCCAGTGCTGCTGTCTCATAACACTTTGTACTTCTCATTTTAATCAAATTTGTAAGATGCTGATCTGTAGTCAAGGTTTTCCTCAGGTACTTAGCAGCTGTGTGAACCTGTGCAAGCCATTTATTTGTGGTCTGTGCCTCAGGGTCCTCATCTGTAAAATGGTGATAATAATAGCACCTCCCTAGCAAGGAAGGTCAAGTGTGAGGATCAAGTGACATAATAAATATAGAACACCTTTCAAACCTTAAAGCTAATAAATATTAGCTATTAGTATTAGCTTTTATTTTTATCAGAGGCACCTATGTGGTGCAACAGATCAAGCACTACATCCAGGGCCTGGAAGTCTTGAGTTCAGATCCTACTTCTGACATTAGCTGCGTGATCCTGGGCAAGTCAGTTAAACTTTGTACCTCAATTTCT